AAGGGGGGAGGACACAACCCAAACAAACACTCAAAACAAACAAAAACCCCAAACAAACAAACCCAGGTCAGGTTGATTTTTAGCAGAGTTTGGTTTCTGGAAACCTTGGCTGTTTTTTTGATATTTTGTATTAAATGTATTTTTTTTAATGTTCCATCTGCATAGCTGATCCAGTATCTTAATGATCTAAATTACTTTTGTTAATTTAGATTAGTCATTTTGATTTTAGCATTGATACAAAGAATAATGTTTGGTTAATTTTCTGAGTAAAGCAAAGAATGAAAGCCTAAGTCTCAGTTGTGCAGATCCAGAAGTACGAAGGAGGATTAGTTTATAGTCCTGCTCATTTTTAGAACACTTTACACTCCTAGCACAGGGTGGAATAGTGTACTTAAGCCTCAGGATAGTCACTCAGGTTGTAATGTGCATCCATAATCTATTTCTGTTCCATTCATCATTTCTGCTAAATTGCAAAAATTGTACCGGAAATGCCAGACATTCTGCTTTTGTCATGCACATTTAAGGTTTCACAACTGTGGAAGTGTTAACATCATGAAGAGGAGCTTAAAATGTCTCAGAAAATCTATTCTGCTCCTGCTTTCATTAAGGAATGTGTCTGTCTGCCTTTCCACTCCAGGTAGAATCACTGACATTTTTGCATCAACTGAATATTTTGTTCTTGCTCTAGAAGATCTTGTCTCATGGTCTCACTTATGGGATACCAGCATAACAAAGAAATGGTTGTCCTCATAGATAAACAGGGTCTAAACATCAGTGGGGAATGAGTTGTTCAGAAATGCAGATGGACTCATGGGGGGCACACAGCAGTAGAGCAGGCGGACAATTTCTCATGCAATGAATCATGTACTCCTTCCTTGGCTAACCAGGTCTCCCTGTTATTTCTTTTCCTCTGTGGGATTGTTTGTTCACCTCAGAGAAAGTTAGTTTCTACAGCTGTGTCCATCTCTGTGAAGGAGATACATGAAATGTATTTTCCTGAAGACTCACTTTACTCTGCAGTCTCAAAACCTGAGTGTTAGTGTATCCTTTTCCTCATGCCATTAGATCTGGAGAAGAAATGAAAAATAAAGAAAATTATTCCAGAAATGGAAATAAAACATTAATGCCAGAAAACTTAGTGGAGGACCTCTTCAAGAGGTCCTTCTAGTTTGGTGACTTAGAGCTCCCAGACCAAATGATCACTCTGGGAAGTTGGCATGGAAGGTAAAAGCCGACACCCTGACATATCCTAGCTGAGGCACCAGCACTGAGCACAAGTTCTTACTTCTTTTGGATGGGAACGCACCTTGCCAGGTTCAAGATGCAAGTCCACCATCTGGTTTGCTTTCAGCACATTCCAGTGAGAAACAGAAACTAAAGTGCGCTCACAAATCTGCTGCTGAACACAGCTGCACAAAGTAAAGGACAGCCTCAAAGCTGTAAAACACGTTACTCAATTCTGTGTGTCAAGCTTGAACATGATGTAATCAGGAGTTAAATGTCTTTCCAAAAGAAGAAGAGTTCTAATGAAAAGAGACGAGTTCTACAGAAGTGGCTGTATTTTCTTCAATAATGGCAGAAAGAAATATGTGCTAGTCAAGGAAGGTAGAAGTGACGTAAAGAGGAATAAAGAGAACATAGCAACGAGTGAGAGAGGAACATATTCTTGGCAGTACTGTGATTGAGGAAGCTCAGATGTATCTGGATGTCTTTGCTGCTTCATTTGTGTCTGCAATATAAGGAAATCCCACAAAGGGGTGGATTTTCTTCCTAGCTTACTAGCTGCAAATGCTAGATCTTTTTCTACCTTTTTGTTCTGACACTTTTTACCAGCTATGACAGAAGAAGTAACATATGCAAATCTGAAATTTGAAAACAGCCATGAGCTGGATAATATCACAGAGCCTGAAGATACTAAGGAAAAAGGTGTAGTATCTATAAAACTTTTATGATTTACTCTTGCTAAAGTAGATGGGACAGGAAATATTTTTAATTATATGCCCAAGGGGCCTTTGTTAGCTTTGTTATTATCAGAAAAGTTATACTAGTTATAAATGTGTTCTGGTTTTTATTGCTTGTATTTCTGCCTGAACTTGTTAGAGTTTGCAAGGTATACCTGAAATAGTGATGTTACTATTTCATGGAAAAGCATATTACTGAGAATTATACTAAGTCCCACAAATAGTCCTAATTGTCTAAACATCAAAAGAGTTAACTTGAACTAATTTTTAAAGTGGATCAGTTCCATTTAATTTCTCCATGCATTTGCAATCAAGCTTAGAACTGAATTAGCTTTAACTGACTCATTTTATTTCACTTCTGAAGCTCTAGCCTGAATTAAGGCACTGGTCTTTGAGATGGCTGTATCTGTTAAAGGGCTGAATGCATTTTAAATACTAATTTTAAATTAATTTTTCTTAATTTGTGTTAAATTGCTTAAGAGCACATGTGAAGATGAGCTCTAGATTTGAGTGGTGCAACTCATGGAAAAAAAGAACATAGAAAGTGCTAGCTATTTGTGGGGTCAGGCTCTGGAGCAGAGGTTTACAAACAAGTGGACAACTTACTTGTGATTCAGAAGGGATTCTCTGGGGAATTCTGTATCAAAGAGCAGTGGTTTTGAACGCTTTTATGTTTTTTTGAACATATGTTCTGGTTTTTTGAACATGTTATGCTTTTTGAACATATGTTTTTTGATCATTGTTAAGTTGTGGTTTTGAGCATTGCCAAAGTATAATTCAGGGGCTAAAAAAAAAAAAAAAAAAAAGATAAAAATCTGAACTATCTTTGTGTTAAGCTCTGGGCTTCTGGGATGTTACCTTTAACATCCAATGACACCAATATCCTCATTCGACTACAGATATCCTGTTTCTATGTCCCAGGGTAGACAATGCATATTTCGTGATGAGAAAGCACCATTCTGAGAGGGCACAGCGCAGTCTGTGCATTATTTTGCAAGCGTCAAATTGAAACAACCTCAATGAATAAATATATCCATTCAAGGACCACAGGAGTACTGTACAGGAAGGACAACCCATCCCAAGGCCCCTTCAGCTGTGCTAGATGTAGCAGAAGCAGTGTGAGGTTACAAAGTACAATACAGGGAACCATCACCTAAAGAAACTCTTGAGGAAATACTTTAATTAAACCAGGCAAAGCTAACAATTCTGTTTGGTCTTGATTCATATTGCTGCCCAGAAAATATTTTGTATTTGTTTATGAAATCTCACTCTTTCTTTGTCTTGTCTCATCTAAAAGCTCCAGGAAGCATGGACTATAATACTTTCAGTCTTCAGCTTGGGGCTGTGACTTTGTAGGGGTAGGAACAAAATTTTTTTGCCCTTTAGCTCCAATTCATATGAGTCTGTTTAGCAGTCTGCCTTAAGGGATTCAAAGTTCTATTCCTGAAGTTCTCCAGGCACCTAATACACAGCTTCAGAGCATGTAGAGAAGCACTTTGACCTTAAAAATATCCATATGTCCTAGCAGTCAGTGTGTCCTTAAGTCTTGTTAAGGTCTGTAAGGTATGTGATTCTCCTGTGCAGGCTTTATCTCTGAGTGTATCTGTCGTATGCCTGTGAGATCAGACTTTGGAAAATAATGTGAAAAGGAGATGTTGTTTCTCTTTGTGAAGGGCCTGGGTATTTCTCTTTTATGCAATACCCAGCAGTTAGAGCACTTCCCTAGAGTGGGTTTGCATTCTGTGATGAAATGCAGGTGCAGGGAGAGTGGCAGATGTAATATATATTCAGCAAGGCTTTTGTCAGTGTCTATTACAGTATTGTCATTTTAAAGCTGAGGAAGTTATGGGCCATTAGGTAGGTTGAAAACTGGCTGGACTACCAGGCTCAAAGGGAAGTAACTAATGGCACAACATCTATTCGGTGGCAGAGTCCCTCAGAGGTCCCTCAGGGGTTGATACTGAGCCTATATTGTTTAATAATAAATAATAATAATAGTAAATACCTTAAAAATGGCACAGAGTGTGTCTTCAGCAAATTTATAATGATACTAAACTAGGGGTTGTGTCTGATGATACCACGTGGTAGAGCTTCAATACTGAGCAGTCCTGAGAATCTTGAGGACTGGATGACCAGAAACCCCAGGAAGGTCCACAAGTTGTCGTGCCCTGAGGCTGGACTAATCCCAGGCATATTCTGGTACAGACTGGGAGCAGGCTGACTGTGGAGGCCTCTGCTGGAAAGGACCAGGGGTTTATGGTGAACAGGACGCTGAAGAAAAGCCAGCAGTGATCTGTGCCCCAGTTCAAGACAACATCCATTGCTTGATCTTCTTTCACCTCATATAATTTATCAACTTGAGTTTCTATAGAGTGAGGTCTTGTACAGCATTCTACCCAGGATTGCTTCACCGCAGGTTATTTGTAGGAGAGGTAGACTGCATAGTTTCCATTCCTGTTCCTTTAGCTCAACATACTAAATTTCAGTTCCTACTCTTTCAGCAATTCACTCCCCAATTTTAAATACTCCTTTTCCTTTCCTAGACTAGCAACTTTCTGTTCACATTCCCATTCTACTGCCTTTACTAGATTAAGTCAAGCTGGTTGCAGCTCTCCACAAAAGCCCATAGAGTGGTAACTTTAATATCTGCCTTAGATTTAATGCTTCCCTGACAAACTGAATGGTTTTTCTCCCTCCTTCAGTGCATCTTAATCCATGAAATCATCAAGTTCCTATAAACAAGGTCTCTTTTGGATGACCTACATGCTTAAAATTTCCCTTGCTCAGCAATGATTGTTTCTTTTTCTCCTCACTGAGTGCTTATTTCTGTATCTAGGCTGTAACCCTTATTACAGGAAAATTCTCTGTGAATTTCTAGCTAGAAATCTCAAACTACCATGAAGTACTACAGCAGTTCACTGTAGCATTCAAATTAACCAGATTACCACAGATATGTTTCACATCACAAATTACCACAAACATATAAGTGCATATTTGTTTTCAGCTTCCAGCAATCAACATTCTAGATTTTGCAACATCTTGCTTTCTCAATATCTTTCTTGCCACAGTTTATGGCCTTCAAAAGGACTGAGGCTGTCCACATTCTCCACTGAGTTGCTGTGATCTCTCACTCTCTTACTTTGTCTGGGCATCTTTTGCTGTGTGCAGAGACTCTGCAGCAGGAGCATACAACCATAAAGTAAAAGCAATTATTTATGGACCAATGCACCATAAAGATGGCTGTGATTTAATGAAATATGCTCATCATTCCCTTAGTATCGCATCTCCATTTCATTATTTAATTCCTCCCAGGACCTCCCACTTCATCCCGCTCTTGCCGTCCAATAGTCCCGATTTTGATCACACTGTGCCTGGCACTGCTGATTGCGCTGGTGACCCTGGCAGTTTTATGTAAGTACTAATGCATTTCTGTTTGCTGGGGGGCTCAAGATACTGAATAACACCAGACTGGCATCTCCTTCAGGTGCAATTTCTGGTTCAGTTGAGAACAGGCAAACCAGATATTTTCCCTTGCCACAGCATCTTTCTCCTCTTCTCAATTTGATGAGGCTAGAAACGAGCAACATGGAGGGGAACTGGAAAGGGGTGGAGTAGGAGATTCACTGCTTGCTCTGACTGCCATTTTCTGGTCTCCTAAAAACTATATCCACAATCCGACCATACTGACTAGGGAGACTGAATTCCCCTTTGATAATACTGGATCTGAAGGGAAGGGAAAAGCTTTGTGTCACAGTGAACAAGTTGTGTTCATTACCTCTCATCCGCCACAATTCCACTGTGATCCAGAGCTGCAGTTCACATTTTTAGGAAAAAAGCACAGCCTGGAAACCAATATAAGAGAAAGATACACAATGGAAATATATGATAAAAAGTGACACTTCAATTTTTTTGTTCGCTCACAGCCAAATAATAAGAAATCCACCATGCAAATGTTCTCCATCTCAGCAGCCCTTGCATGCAACTGTTCAGGGAGGAATAACATTTATCCCAAATGGTTTATTTATCCCTAACTATCTGCTAAGTCATTCCCTATCTGCATCCCACCCATTCTGAAGGACAGCACTGGAAAATGTCTTTTTGTGAATTTCAGTTTACCAGATTCCCAAGGACTACAGGACAAAACTTAGAGACCTCAACATGACAAAGAATGAGCTGCATGGAAATTTCTCAAATATGCTGCAAGCAATAGGAAATCAGCTGTGCTTGGAAGGGGAAAAAATGCTTAAAAATAATGGTAAATCGACAAGTTTTGATGAGGGTTTATCTTTCAATATGGCAGGGAAGGAAATGAGATGTGTCTTCTCTGTCTACCCAGGTCCATCCCCTCAGGTGAGCCTCTGCTCTCTCATATGTAACCACCTAGAAAGCAGGTGATGACCATATCTGGTGCACACAGTGTCTGGAGACAGGCGCCCAGCCTGCCCATATGTGCCTGGTAGTGCTACCAGGGTTTCAGGATCTACTTTGCATAAGAAAAGGGTTCTGTGGGGATGCCTTCTGGATGTGCCAGTTCCCCTCAGCACTAGTTCAGAGATCTCTACAACATGCTCACCTCTATCTGATCTGACAGTTTTACAGTGGTGCCTGAGAATTAAACAACTGACTGCACTCTATGTGAACAGCAGTCCACACACAGGACAGTGTGCTAGTACCAACCCCAGGTCAGACAGGAATCTCCTAAAATCAGAAGAGATGTGTGGTGAAGTGTAGCTAAACCAACCTGAGCATTCACACTCTCTTTCCTGACTGTGTCCTATTTCTGAAGGCAGTTTGCCACAGCTCAGTTATTTAAGTGGCATCTGACAATGAGCCAGCCAGAGAATCAGTTCTCTTCAGAAATTATACTCTGAAGAGTAGGGGCACCAGGTGAAGGGATTCCATTGTGATTGTTGGGAAAGGGGATTTCATTAGTCCAGATATTGTTCTGCAGACAAGCTGTCTAGGTCTCTACTTCTGTCCATTGACAAAAATGGGAATCCAGATGGGTTCACTCATGTCGTCTTGGTAGATCCTAAAAATAAGCAAAATAAATCCCATCTGCAGCACCTGAACCTCCTCCCCCAGTGCTAAAGGAATAGGAATGATGGGGTGGGGGCAGGGGCTGCGATTCAGTTTTCACCTCTTTCATTACCTGAGCCTTCTGGGACCACAGTGGGATTTTGACTGAATAAGGATCATCTCAAACATCCTCAGTCCCTACAGATCTTGTTGTCACAGGCCGACAGTGATGTTCTGTGAGGAACAGCGTGGGAACAGAAACAGGATGATGGTTTTCCTTTTCCAGGCCAGAACTGCGTACTCTGCCCTGCAAACTGGAAGTGGGAAGGTGGCCATATGTGTTACTACCTCTCCGAGGAAAAGAAGTCATGGGAACAGAGTCACCAGTTTTGTTCCTCACAAAACTCTACTCTTCTTCTGATAAAAGAGGCAGCGAAGTTGGTATGGAATGGGTTCTCACTCTGTTTAGCATGGAGGGAATTCATGTGCCCTATCAGCTACTCACTTCACAGATAACTTTCTTAAATGGCATTGTTAGCAGGAGATTTTCTGCATTGATCAGGTTGTCCTGGGCAGTCCTAGGACGTAGTGTGGCCACACAAAGCACTCCCCTTTGAGTGGCTGGCAGTCGGAGACAGCCCATCTTGCCATGGCTTGCCATGGCTGGCTATTTACTGGGGTGACTGGTGAAAGCAGTTCCATGGCTGTTTTGTTGTGGGCAATGAGTTCACTAATTTAACAAGTATTACAGATCCATACAAGGATTTGGTAAGACATTAGTGTGAAAGCCTCTTTTAACCTGCTCTCCCCATAGGTGAACCATAGTCCTCCCCATTTTGTGGAAGTTCTCTCCACAAAAGCTGATCTCATCCTTTCAATCAAAATTAAAACACTTGGCAGCAAGTTGCTGAAATCTAACCTAATCTTTTAGTAAATGAAAATAAACTGACACGGGAAGAGAAAATGCCAGGTGTAGAGGGAAACATTGCTTTTGCCTCTGGATGCCAGCAGATGTGTTGGAAGACTGAAGGCAGAAATGATGTCTAGACCTAGATGTCAAGAGCTAGCAGTCAGGGCTGGGCCTGCCTGCTCTCTAGCACTTGACAAATGCCAGTTCCCCTCTCACCGAGCCATAATGTTTCTCCCAGAAGTAAAAGGGAGCAGCTTTATTCTCACCCTCCCAAACTGGTGACAGCAAAGATTGTGAGGTGCAGTCTGTTCTAGCTGTCTTAATGATGGCATTGAGACATACGAGGAAAAAGAGAAAATGGACAAGTGCACTGGGAGTGACAATGATAAGTGAAGGAAGGAGGAGAACAACAGAAAAATTGAATTCAAAACTTCAGAGATTTCCCTCAAGCAGGGGTGAGAAAGGCGGCATTACTTAAGTTTACATTGTTACCTGTTCTGCTCAGAGCATTTTTTAAGAACAGAATATCACTGAATGCCTAACTTTAAGACCTCCTCTACTTGTCATGGTCCAGCTCTTGGGAATAAGTAAACGATGCTAGAGCGAAGTGTGAAGATTCAACAAATCAAACCCAACGGCTCCCTGCAGAGGCCTCATTTATGCTGTTGACAAATGCTAAGGACAGAGTAATGGAGGAGGAATGATTCATGACTAAAGTGGAGATGAACGATCCAGTTTCACCCAATGGGTTTGAATCAGATAGATGAGCGTGACATTGCTCTTCAGAGCTATAAGTGTATCTTCTCACCAATTAAAACCAGCTCTGTTATCATTTCACCTTTGATACCAGGCTTTTCATGTAAGTGTAGAACTTGTCCTGACAGGTTAGCAATTTGTGGTATTTAAGTTCTTTAGGCAATTTCCATTAATGCTTTCAACTTCTGAGCCTAGATATTTATTTTTAATATCTTCCTGAATATCTGTTTTGAATTGTCCTTATCTGCATAGGAAGTGGTACAAAAATTTCCTACAGGATTATACTGGCTTGGATTAATATTTAGAGCTCAACAGACAAACTGGTATTGGGTAGACAACACAAGTGTTACAGAAGAACAAAAGTCTTGGTAAGTGGGCAGCTTTCTCACAATACATAAAATTGGTCCTCACCCACATGCAACTCCCAGTTTCTCTGACACAAAGGGAACATTGAACAGCCAACTTTTATACAGCTTTCTCTGTATTCTGGATCTCACTTTTCCATTTCAGATTTTTTCTTGGCCCCACCTAGGACTGCTTGGAGGGTGATCTAGGCACTATTACTGGGCAAAAAAAAGTACCCTGACTTTTCATTTCCACAATTTAGTTTCAGATTGACCATAAATGTCATGTTTCTCTTGTATCTGACATCTTGGTTCAGTGTTTCATATCATGCTTTTGATTTTATACTTTTTTGGTTTTATACAAGACACTATTTAATCTCTAGAATAATTTCGTTTCAGACTAACATGTCATTTCAGAAATACAGTATATTTTTCTTCTTGCTTTCAAACCTGCTTTGCCAATTTTCCTTTTCATTATTGGGCAGTATCCTCTTAACATTTCTGTTGAAACAGCCTCTGTCACCCTCCAGTCAGTACCCAGGACTTAGCATTTCTTACTGTCAGGTACAAAAAACAGTTTAGGATCCACTCTTAGAGTCTGCTGGGGGTGTTTGTTGGCATGTTCAGGACAGGGCCAGTCTCCTGTCAGTTGGTGCACAATGTTACTAAACTCTATATTTCTTTGTTGGGGGTATATATTCTTCATGTAAGACACATCAGTAATTTTTGCAAAGATGACTCTTTTTGGAAGGGGAGAGGATGCACCACTTGAATGAGATAAAATGTAACAATAAAGCTTTTTCTTTCCTAGGACAAAGCATTTAGATTCCTTCTATCACTGTGGATATATGCATCATACTACCATATATAGCAGAAGATGCCTAGAAAAGCTTTACTGTATATGTGAAAAGCCCGCCATCCAGTTACAGCGAGGTAACAACCATTGGCAGGAGGACTGGTTTGTCAGACTAAAATGATTATGAGAAGCTAGAAGACATTCTGTAAGGTTGGAATTTTTTATTTTGTTTTTCAGAACTATCATATGAGAATTTAAACATGTTGGATCGAACCTAATACATTTCCTTGTTTTCGTTGTCTTTTAGACATATGTAAAAATATCTTCGTACTAAGGAAAAGGACATGGTGACAGGCTCCAGGAATGACCCAAGTCTGTCATTCCAGATCCAAAACTGCCAAATGATTACTCAGTTTTAACCAACACAAGTGATGGACAAAATGGCCAAAAGTGATGGCCAGGGAAAAAAAAAAGCTCAGTGACAAGACAAGCACATAAAGATACTGCTCCTCTCCCAGCATCCACTGATACAGTCCTAATACCACTTGTCAGTTAATATTAACTGTACAGCTGTAACATAACACAAGTGATGAGGATTAAACACTTCCATTCAGGAGATGCTTCCGACGTCTTGTTGATCTGACTGCTTTAATACACTAGTAGGCTGGAGTATACAACACACAAACACAGCTATTCTCAGAAGGTGGGCCAAGGCGTTCCTGAATTGCAATAATAATCATATTTGCTCTGGAGCACAGGGATTCATAGTCCTTGTAAGGACTTGTGCACAGGTCACAGGAGAAGACATGAATGTCTAGCTCTCTTCTGTGCTCTATACTTCTTCCTGACGCTGTTAGTTCTCTTTTTTCTTTTTTCTTTTTCTTTTTCTTTTTCTTGTAATAATTCTGCTCTTCTTTTCTACTTTTCTAATTTTCTGCTTTTTTTTTTATCTTTTCCAAGAGTTTCACTAGGGTTCAGTCAGAGGCATGAACAGAACCTCCTTTTATGTATTTTTAGGAGATTTCCTGGAATGCCATACTACTAACTTAATGTGCTGAGCAAGGATCTACAAGCCCAGCCATAGTGAAAATACCCCAAGCAATGTTAATCAACAAAATGTTTCCCTCCACATCTCTGTAGAACAATGACAGTCAGGTTGAAATAAGAAATCTCAGTCCCATAACAGTGTTTTGATTTGAGCAAAAAGTCCACAAATTGCTAGCTTGGATCCCTCTGGAGACTTGTGTATTCCTTGTGGATTGCAGTGCAGATTGTTTATTGTGGGCCATTTACCAGTGGTGTAGCAGCTGGGCTGCTAAAGCATTAGTCATTCCCTTCAAGGGGCTGTTCTAGCGTCTCACTGATCTCAGCACTACACAGCAGTTTCTGATCACCAACATGAACATTTCCGGTGTTATTTTGAAATACCAATTTCATGCTCCAGAAACTTTAGAGGATTTCCCTTCCTCTCTGCTGTTTACACTCATCACTCACATCTCTGATGTAACCTCTCCTAGCTGCTCCTCTCAGTTCCTCTCCTAGCTGTTTCTGTCTTCAGGGGTGAAAATGCAGAGTGCTTCTGTCCTGCAGTGCAGACACAGCCCTGGTGACTTCCAAGAGTGTCTATTAGCATTCATATCAGCTACACTGATACAAGAAATATCATGTGGAAGGTATCCTGAACTGTATTCATGGTGCGTCCTTTCTTGATAATGAAGGGCTTTGCTGTAATTTGCCAGAAAAATAAAAAAGTCTGATCTTGTTTCCTCTTATATTAGAGTGACTGTGAGGAAACAGGAAAGACATTTCTAGGATGTTTCTTCATTAATGACACATGCCTAAGAGCAGGTGGCAGAATCCCAGATGTTTCTGCAGTTTGTTGAAGACAAATGTGAGCTGAGATTGACAGCTCCCCACGCTGATAGGCAGCCACAAGGCTATACCATATCTTGCTGTGGCCTTGATCTTTTGGGTCAATTTACTGCTAGTCCAAAAGCAGTCTCTGGTGCAGCAACTGTATTTGTAGCATAGACATACCTGACAGGGCAGAAAAGCCCTTTTTACATCAAGGTGCCAACATACAGTTTTCAGACCTGACAGACAAGGATCCATATTTAGCATGAGGTTTTTATGAGGAAACTATGGATGCACCATGAATACACAGTGAATGCTACTCCTTGTAGCCTGTCTGTGTAACAAAACTGTCAGCACTCTTTACTCCCAACTTTTCCCTCATGTCTCCTCTTTGCATACAGGTAAAATATCATGCAAGAAATACATGCAGCTGGAGATATTTCTGCTCTGAAAAAAATCTATCATCATCTGCACAGCAAGGCAGGAAGAATAGCCCAGTTATTACAGTGTATTTCTAGTCTGTTGATATTATTTTGCAAATGGGGGATTCTAAACTTTACACACAAGAGCAGGAACAGCTACCACAGAAATTCCTCTCTTGCAATTTCCTTCTGACTCACCCTGTCACCACGACATGACTCATGAGGTCTGGGCAAGTGTTCTGCTAAGGAAAGTTGGTCACTGAAGATGTTTAAGAACTACAGCGCAGCACTGGAGCAAGGCACTGCAAAGAGCGAGAGATGGAGAATGAAGATGGAAAACCCATTTCTGCAGTCACCTCCATGTACAGTGCAACAGCAGAGAGGTCCTCGGTGTGATCTGGTCTTTCTCTGACACAGGCTGAGTGGTTGTGTGAATCCTGCCAAACTCCTGGCCTCACCATCCTTTCAGCTCAGCTCTTCCCCTTCTAGCATTTATTTCAGTTAATTTTTGTAGATTAATTTCATTTTTCATTTATTTCATAACAGTGTATGGAAATACAGCCTATTGCTTTCAGTGCAGCTGATGTGTTGTATTTGTACTCTGACACATGAACAGATATCTTTCATATCTTAACTCAAAATAGCAACTATTTCTAGAGCATCTTATTTTAAGGAGATAGAATATCCTGATGTTTGCTGTATTTACAGGGCCAGATCAGATGGATAGTTAAATGAAACAGTCTTAGGTTCCAGACAGGAACCAAGACTCCCAACCTTCACATTCAGGAAGAAAACACCCATCCTTGACATGTCACTTTAACTCCTTGATGTGTTTTCAATATACTACACTTTCACTATGACACAGTAATCAGAAGAGAGCCAGTTTCCTCTGTGGTTTCACTGGAAATGCTGAAATGTGAACCATTCCCATCACCTCAACATTGGTCTCGCTGTAGTGTGTCCCTCCTCCCAGAGCACTGCTACTGCAGGAAAGAAGTGTGACAAACTGGAGATGGAGGATGAGGAAGGCTATACTGCTTTAAATTTACGACCCTCAGTATCAGTTATTACTTCTGGATATTCAAGCAGCAACAAATGTTCTGCATTTAAGGCTCCAGCCAGTTGTGTTACAGCAGACAGTAAGTACAGGTGTAAATCAGCTTTTGTATCTAAATCAGGGCATAACTTAAATTTGCATGTTCATGTTAATTGCTTTAGAATCTTTCTAAACTTTATGGTATATTCTTAGGTAAATGTTCATTGAAACAGCAGAAAAAAATAATCATAATGGAGTGTTGTGTGCTATTGTTTATGTTAACAGATATTTTTTCTGAAGCCTATCTTTATTCCAATTATTTTTTCCATTTACTTTAACACAAAAGACAAATTCCACCTTTCTATGGATTTTTTTTTCATTTTGGTAGGACTCATTTATGACAGCAGGGCACTACAAGAGGGGAATGCACTACAGTTTTATCAGATAACGCAGGCCTTGGAAATGGAAGCAATTTCCTCAGCTATGGGGAGTAGAAATTTGCTCTGTTTATCAGTCTTAATAGTGAATGTAAGCTCTGATAGGAGTATATATTTGTATTTGTTTGTACTGAGAGAGTTTCTATAAACAAGCTGAGTGCTAACTAAGGTAGTGGATTGTGCCCGTGAAATGTCTGAGACCATAAAATGATGACTTGAGTACTGTTGCTGCTGCTTATAAATTCACCACGTGGTTTATGTGTGAAATAAATATCATCACTGCTATTTTCAGGTTGGGTAGAGTAGACAAAGATTAAATTAACATCACTCTGGTGCTGTGTGGAAAAGATCTAGGGCTATTCATTGAGAATGACCGCTTGACAAGGAGGATGGAGGAGAAGCTGTGGAGAAGCAGCAGCAAGAAAACCAAGGATAAAATATTAAGGATTGTGATCTAGGGACAGAGCTTCCTGGAAAGAAACAGCTCAGAAAACTCCTTAAATGGCCTTTTGATATGCACAGAGAACATGTAAAGTAGATAGACCTATGATCAAATTAGGTTGGGAGGGACCTCTATAGTTCATCTGTTCCAATCTTTTGTTCAAATGGGCTAGCTCTAAAGTCTGATCAAGTTGCTCAGGGACTTGTCCATTTGAGTTTTGGAAACCTCCAGGATGAAGATCTCACAGCCTCTCTGGGCACTTGTTCCAGTGCTGAAGGGGAAGAATTCTTTTTCCTCACATCTAATCGGAAGTTTCCCTGATGTGACTTGTGACTGTTGATGTGTGTCCTTTTGCTGTGCCTCTCTGAGAAGAGTCTGGCTCCATCTATAAAGCCCTTTGAGGTAGTGGAGGACAAAAATTAGGTCCTCCCTTAGCCTCTTCATCTCCAGGCTAAACACGCCTACGTCCTTTAGGCTCTTCATAGGTCCCTGACCAATTCAGTTTTCCTCTGCTGGACTCTCTGCAGTTAGCTGACATCTCTCTTGAACTGGGACGCTCAGCACTGGACACAGTACCTCAGATGTGGCTTCATGACTGTCAAGTAGAGTGGAATAATCACTTTTCTCAACCTGCTGGCTGCAGTCTTGCCAATGCAGCCCAGTGTTGGTCAGCTTTCACTGCCACAAGGGCACACTTGACTCACGTTCAACTTGTCCACCAGGACCATGAAGCATAGCTGTTTTCTAGCCAGTCAGTCACCTTTAAAAAGAAGGTCTAACCGCTGGTATATCAGTTACCACCCCAATGTGGTGTCATCTGCATTCTCTTCAAATTACTTGATGAGGGTTAAGGTCATCTCCCTTAACTTTGGCTATGTAAGTTTCTGTTGCCAAGTCTATCTGGACTTCTGGGCACCTCTGGAAGGTGATTCTTCTCACCTAACAAAAGATTAGATCACTGGAGGTGCTTGCTCTGGTTGCACTGGACTCAAGTAAAATACTTGATGTGTGTAATACTTTTCAATTAACCTGAATATTCTAAATAGATATGAAAGAGAACTACAGAAAATTGCAGAGCACTGCTTCCCAAAAAGGAGAAATGTATATACATAGAAGAAAAGATTTTAATCATGGGATAGTCAGTTGTAAAATTCTGGAGAACTATATCCTGATTAGAGACATTGAAGCACAATGGAAATTTGGAAAAAGAGCCTGAAGAAAGATGCACAGTTTAATGTTCTAACATTGCAATCATTTAAAAATCCCAATCACAGGTTCCAGAAGTAATTATCTTAAACTAGATGGTAATTTTTCCCTTTCAAAGTGGAGCAGTCTTAGAGATTGTTTTATTATTTCCAGGACTGTGGGCAATGCAAAATCTAATGTTTACCTGTCTCATGACTAGAAGTTTTACTCTAAAACACTAAAGCCTCAGTTAATAAATATTCTCAATTGATAAATAGATATTTTCTCAAAATGACTGCAGGAAATTCCCAACGGCAATAACAAAAACTGCAGTAAGAAAAGAAGAGGCTCTGCAGAAGGGATAAAGGTGAACTGGCGCTGTTAGAGAGGAGCAGCACCACTGCGTTGTGAGGAGAGCTGCTGGTTTTCTTACTGAATAGTTTGGGGTTTTTTTTTCCCCAGGAGCCTCTGCCTCATCTTCCCTATGGCGGCCAGTGGCCTTTGCTTCCCTCGCTTTGTGCCTGGCGCTGCTGACAGGTCTGGTAGTTCTGCTGGCCCTGTGTAAGTACTGTGGGAGTACGCTGCTGCTGTGGGAGGGAATTCCAGCTACGTGAATGCTTCTTCTCCCCCTGCAGACCGTCCCTGGTGTCTCTGCTTCCCCAGTGGAAATAATACAGCAAGAAGGGCAACAGCACAGCTCTCCCACAGAAGTCCCCTGCAACTGAATGTCAGCACAGGTCGCTCAGGATCTGCACTTATAGTTACCTTACCCCTACGGGTTACACTAATCCTAATATAAGGCCTAAACCTAACTAACTCTAACCCTAGACCTAAACCTAATCCCCTAACCTTAACACTAACCCTAACCCTAAACCCCTAACCTTAACCCTAACCTTAATGACCCTAATCCTAACACTAAAACTAATCCCTAACCCTATCCCACAGCATAAGCCTAACCCCTAAAACTAACCCCAACCTTAACCCTAATCTGAAACTATAACCCTAACCATAACTCTAACCCTAACACCTAATGCCTAACCCTAACCCTAATCCTAATGTCCCTAACCTTCCGCCTAACCCTAACCCCAATTCTAACCTATACACCTAAACCTAACCCTAACCCTTACCCTAAAACCTAACCCTAACCTTAGTCCTAACCGCTGATTTACTCTAACCCATTTCTCAAATGCTCAGTTTTCACAGCTAGAAGCTGATCTCGTTAGCCCCACTATCAGGGTAATGGTGCCCCCCTGTGACAGTTACCGGAATATTTCACAGTTCCCTCTTTTCCTTGGATTGCAAGCTTTTTGCATGGAGGGCATCACAGCAATGTTAGGTCAGAGGAAATTCTTCAGCTTTCTAGTCTGACCTCCCCCCTCTCCGCCCCACCATTCAAAGCTGGACTATCACCAACCCCAGATAAACTCACCTGTAGCTTTGTCCAGATGACTTTGGAAAATCTCCAAGGCAGAGATGCCCCCACCTTCCCAGGTGACCTTTTCCAGTGTTGCACAACCCTCCTGGTGAAGAAAATGGAGATAATGTACACACAATGGTGGACATACAAATTAAGTAGACAAAAAAATAAAAGAATGACAAAAGCTACAAATTAAAGATACAAATTTTTAAAAAACAAAATTTTTAAAGCTACAAAATTTAAATTTATTTTTTTATAAGCACTTTCATGCCCTTCAGTTTTTCAGGTTTCCAAGGATCCTGAGGAAGGAAAGAAGCTGCAGGAAATGAGGGAAGCATTGTGTTTTGAAGGGAAGGAGAAAAACGGTAAATGTGTTTGCTATGTAAATAAACACATATCATCCCCTTTTCAGAGCCCACTGACTGAGAGACTATAAAATCACAGGGAAAAGATCTGATCGGTTACTGTCTGTTTTTAACTGTGGTAGCATCTGAGAGGTGGATATGTGTACACTAACATGAAAAACAACTTGTCTCTGGCCCTCAAGAGCTCAGCTGACCCATGGCTACCCTTACTCTTTTCTCAGTCAAGCCAGTAGCTAAAGCCCCTGTATTCCTTGCAGGTCTGCATAAAACTTTCTCTGATTTCTAGAAACAAAATGTGCTCTCTGTCCAGCAAGCTGGCAAAACAGTGGAGCTGACAACTGCTTCTACATTTCAAAGCAGAAGAAAACATGGAAGCAAAGCCAGGAGTTCTGTTCCTCGAGAAACTCCACTCTTCTTGTGCTAAAAGACAAAGCAAAGATGGTACAGTCTTAACTTCATGCATTCCTTTATGTCATGTGTTTTAACTTACAGCAATCTTGCAGGCAGAAAATAGTTTGGTTGTTTTCAGTGCATGTATTTAATTTTCTCCATGTCATGTAGCCTTCCTGCAAGTCACTAGATTGTCACGACTTGCAACACTTTCTAAATTATGTGCTGTAAGAAGTAGTGAAATTATGTATTATAGAATAAGCCATTGTATAAAATACCTTAATTAGCTAATACTTAGGTTTTCACAGAGAAAACAAATTGTATGTTATCAGCCTGGAGGAGAGACGCAGCACACAGAATGCATGTTTTCATTATCTCTTCCCACAAGTTTTATTACTGAGGGCTCCCAGCATCAAACCCACAACTACGTGAAATCTAGAGTGGCCAATTCACCATGGTACTGTCATTTGCATGCTGCGCGGCAAAGTGACTATAAAAGGTTGTTTTCTGACCTTGTGTTATATCCTCACAGAATGGCATTAATGATGGCACAAAGACTAGACAGCAGAGGATTATGATGACTGAAAAAGGTTTACAGAATTAATAATTTTAAGTAGTCTTACTAATTTGGGTTTTTTTCTGACTAATGAAAAATCTGTAAGCTGCTGTCAAGACTATCTTTTCCATTTTTGTACACACATATTTGGAAACCCCTTTTTCAACATCTATTAAGTTTACACAAAGCCCAAATATCGTTATTTTCTTTTTGCTACATAAGAAAGACCTTTAAAAGGAAACAAGCTTCCCTGGAAATCTCTCCTTTTTCCAGGTGGAGTTAGTTTCAGATGGGGGTTCTCAACTCATTTAAGGCATAAAGGCTAGCCTTTTCATTGTTTTTTTTTTTTTTAAAGTGAAAATTAGATAGGTAGAGACAAAATAGAAAGTGGAGAAATGGTTTATTATTGAGTTTAGCAGCATCCTGAGGTCAGAATTGTGTTTCACACTGTTAGGAGACACCTGAACACCACACCTTCAATACTGAATGCAAGAGACAATTTTGCCATGCTATATAAATCCCTGGATAGTTTGACTCCAGGTGTCTGGGTGCTCGCTTTTTCTTCCCTGTTTGGTATGTGCAGCTCCAGCCAGACTGAAGAACCACAGCTGGTTTAAGCCAGCTGTGGATTTTAGATTTTGGATGAGTCCCTAAGCATGCTACAAAGCAGCAGTAGAGTATCTGGAGGATCTGAACAGGCTAAGATGCTGAGGAACCTCTTAGGTAGTACTCACACACCTAAGGAATGATCAGGTGCCTAAGCATAGGTTTCTAGGGCAATCTGAGATGCCCAGGGGTATTCTCTTTGACCTCCAAATGCCTCAGCAAGGCACAGTTCTCCCATAGGTTCTTGGTCTTATCTGTCAGACATATGCGAAGACCTCAGACGGGTTGGAGAATCTCAAAAAGTGCTAGCAGCCTGTATTTATGCAACAGTCTCTTCCCTCTAGGCTGAGATTCATCTCACCTCGCTTCAGGCATCTACAGCGTAAGCAGTCTGCAACTTCAGAGCTACTTCCTCAGGCTCCGTTACAGCCAATACAGTCACTATTGAGTAGCCCTCCCACTAGGTGAGACGAATCACTTCTCAGGCTCCATTGGATCTGTTGGCCACATCTTTGCTGACTCTAATTGGGGCTTTCATGGCATTCTCATACCTATATCTAAACTGCACATATCTAAAGGCAATGTAGGTACCTAAAGGCAGACCAGATAAAGCTGCTTTGTTTGTTTGTTTCTTGGTTTGTTTAAAAAAGCAGTGTTTTTACACATTCAGGCTACATTTGTCTTGTGGCGATTCAATAAACAATGGTATTTGAATGATCCTATAATCAGAACAGTCAGCACTGTCTCATGGAAAAGAAGTATGGACAACAGGTTACTCTCCTATTGAGTAAGAGTTACCTCCTTTGGTTGCAGAACCTTCACAGCTGGAAGATACAGGAACTTCCATCTTATTTTTGAAATACTGTTGTGATGATTTTCTCATACCTACAGGTTTCTCTGCCACAGGATTCACAGTTTTACTGGGTTGGATTATCCTACATATCTGAAAGGAACAGCTGGTACTGGGAGGATGGAACAGCTTTTTCAAAAGAAGCGACAAATTGGTATGCCTTCATAACTTAGGACCAGTGCAGTTCTATCCAATGGTCTCACTAAATTATAAGACTTGTTCTTTCTCTTACTTTCCCATGTTTGTCACATGTGGAATGATGAAGGAGCACAGAGACCATAGTACCTGCTATGGAGCTCTGAATTCATGTCCTGTATGAGGAACAATGGGTGGCAAAGTACAGCTTGACATGCACCACCACCTAGAACAAATAAAATAGCTCCAAGGGGGAAATAACTCTACATTCCAGTGGCAAATTAGCATGATTACAAATGGGCCAAATATAGATCACATGATGTCACCAGGACATCATTAAACCATATATTTTAATTTCCTAGGGTTGTGTTATATGACAAGATCTTCTGTGCCTCCATATATGGACAGATTATTTACGCCAGGCACTCCTGTTCGACCAAGCAATTCTGGATCTGTGAGAAAGTGACCGTTCATTTCACCTGAACCACTGCAAAAAGGGATGTGGGATCTGCCACTGTGAGATACCAACTTTAAGAACTAGACGTTTTAAGTATATTTGTTTGTTTGTTTGTTTATCATGCAGTTTTCTCAGTAGGGTGATTCAAAGGGACGGGTCATTAGAGACTACATCTTCCTCTTTGTCTGCATTTTCCCTCCCAGGCTCACAAATGAGAGAGACATAAAAAAACCTCCACAGCTAAAAACTACAAGCCTAGGAAGCAACTTGAAAGAATTAGCTACAGTCAAGCAATGATTCTTGCATGACTTTCTAGGTTGGCAGCCACAGATTCTTGCAGATCTCTGTATTTCTTGAGCTTTGCTCAGCATTTCACATTAACACCTGCCAGTCATAAACCAGTCCAACTACATCCCTGATGATTTTACTCACTGAATTACCTACTATACACACTAGCTACTGTCCACCTATAATCCTCTTCCAGAGCAGTTTGCCTGGGCATGCCTTTTTTCCTAAATCTGTTCTTCCAGCTGTTCCTCTGTTTGAGGTATAGGGATACAGAAAGAACACAAGGCTCTACTTATCCATAAAATTCTTCTCATACGTGCATTGGTATTTACAGAAACAAAAGGGCATTTGTGACAAGGCTACAGGGAGTCCCTGGAAGCAATCTTTGTGAAAAGTAGTTAAATGTCATGGTTGGATTAAAACTTTACCTGAATAACTTCAGTGTTATCATAACATTAATTGCTATGCAAATAGCAGTGAGGATAATAATTATGTGCTCCATTCAGAGCTACACACAATCAGTACTCAAAGTGATGCAGAATCCATTGCCACAGATTTTACTTGAGCTCTTGTATTATATCCACACTGTTTGGGATCTCTGGAGCCCAAGGTACACACTATGCATCATGTGTTATTAAAGCACTTGTCATAATTCTTGAAAGAAAATGCTTTCCTTTTTCTGGGTGGAGCATCATTGCATCAATTCTTTGAAGTTTTGTATGTCAGCACCTGGTCTGTATTATGTATGCATATATTCCTTGTATATATATATGCCTTGTATCTATTTGTATATGCCTTAGTATTTGGAGACTTTCCTTATAATAAATGAAATAATAATAATATCTTTTTAATATTCAGTATTTCCTTGGAAAATATTCTCAAAGACTGAAGCAGTTCCTTGGTAAAAAAATGAACCCCTTTTCCAAATGTGATGAAAGATGTTTATGAACTGAATAAATTCACTATACTCAGTAGAACCAAGTTATAATTCATGGGCACAACTACCAGCTGAACTATCTAGAATTCTCTACTATTGTGGTAGGAAGTTCAAGGTACAATGCAAATAAGGTACAATGCTTCATCTGTTTCAAACCATTGAACTTGAAAAAAAAAAATTCACAGCAGGCATCTAACCTGCCATATTTTACCCCTTTTTCCTCCCACAAACTAACATATGATTTTTTTCTAGCGATCTGCTATATGCCTGTGTTTGATGGCTGCATTGTGAAAACAAATGTTAGCTTCTGGGTTTCCTGCTGACTGCTTAGTTGTTTTTTTAGGGAGCATTCACTATTACTGCAGGAATGTCAGGTCACCGGTGATAACTTGCAGGGTACATTTCTTTCGTTTCTATGACTAGATGATCTTTATAAGCTATTTCCATATCTTCATATAGTAAACTCCATTTGGTCTCAGACCAAGTCTTGGCCCCAGCTGCTTAGAAAGGGCTTTTGCCTTGTTAACAGTGGCATATTTCAGAGGGAACAATTTATAGTATCTAGTATTTTAAATTCAAGCAAATCCATTATTTCATGCAGAGGCTGTCAAAGTTCTCCTAACTACACGTGTATGGAGCCCAAGACACGAGCTGCTCAGGGAGGTTCACTGTCTTTGGGGACAGGGGAGGTCCACAATCCTTTCATGGCACTGGGAAGTTCAGAGAAGTGGTTCATTTGAAGCATATTTTGTATGGTAAATAAAACCTATTGTTGTTGTAGTGGGTGGACCTGCGTTGGACAGCAGGTGCCCACCAAAGCCGCTCTGTCACTCCCCTCCTCAGCTGGGCAGGGGAGAGAAAATATAACGAAAGGCTCCTGGGTCAAGATAAGGACAGGAAGAGATCATTCACCAATTATCATCACAGGCAAAACAGACTTGACTTGGGGAAATTAATTTAATTTATTGCCAATCACAATCAGAGAAAGATAATGACAAATTAATTTTAAAACACGTTCCCCCTACCCTTCCCTTCTTCCTGGGCTCAACTTCACTCCCAATTTCTCTCCCTCCTCCCCTTGAGCAGCACAGGGGGACAGGGAATGGGGGTTGTGGTCACTTCATCACACGTTGTCGCTGCCACTCCTTCCTCCTCAGGGGAAGGACTCCTCACACTCTGTCCCTGCTCCAGCATGGGGTCCATCCCACAGGAGACAGTCCTTCATGAGCTTCTCCAACATGAGTCCTTCCCACGGGCTGCAGATCTTCACCAACTCCTCCAGCGTGGGTCCTTTCCACGTGGTGCAGTCCTTTGGGAACAGACTGCTCCAGCGTGGGTCCTCCATGGGGTCACAAGTCCTGTCAGCAAACCTGCTCCAGCATGGGCTCCTCTCTCCACGGGGCCACAGATCCTGCCAGGAGCCTGTTCCAGTGGAGCACGTGACTCCACGGAGTCACAGCCTCCTTCATGTGCCTCCACCTGCTCTGGTGTGGGGTCCTCCATGGGCTGCAGGGGGACAGCCTGCTTCACCATGGTCTTCTCCAGGGGCTGCAGGGGGATCTCTGCTCTGGCACCTGGAGTACCTTCTCCCCCTCCTTCTTCACTGACCTTGGTGTCAGCAGAGTTGTTCCTCTCACATCCTCTCACTCCTCTGTCCTGGCTGCAATTGTTGCCGCACAGGTTTTTTCCCCCTTCTTAACTCTGTTATCCCAGAGGCACTACCATCATCACTGATGGGCTCAGCCTTGGCCAGGGGTGGGTCCATCTTGGGGCTGGCTGGCATTGGCTCTGTCGGACATGGGGAAAGCTTCTAGCAGCTTCTCACAGAAGCCAACCCTATAGCCCCCCCACTACCAAAACCTTGTCACGCAAACTCAATACAATTGTATACTAATTGTGAGAGTAAAGCCCTTGGTAGAGCCTGAGACATTATAAATCTTGAAAGGTATGGGAACTAAAGAGAAGTTGTTGGGTTCAACATCCTTTCAGACAGAACATGGACAGTGAAGAAGATGGGGTGAAGTGAATAAAAAGAGGTGCATTGGGAGAATGAGCCCTGCAGTACCATTCTGCAGTGGAAGGAGCATGGCAGCTTCACATTTTCCCATCAACAACAAGATAACCAAGACAGTGAAATGGGAGGAGTCTAAATGTCAGCTGCTGGATAGGAAAAAGCAGAGATCATGGATGTCAGGAAGGCAGGTTCAGAAATAAAAGAGCTGAACCACACACCCCAGCTGCACAGTACCTCTTCATATTCTCCACTACACTCTCTGCTCCAGGCCCTGCACTGAGTGGATCCTCTCTCTTCCCCAATGGCCTCCATCATCCTTGTTATGAGCACACCCGCTGCCCTGGAAGGGGTTGAGACTTGCCAGTAGATGCCAGTGCTCACAGGCTCCAATGCACTGTCAGCAAGATGCTAAATAATATGGTGCCAATTGTGTTCACAGGCACTGTCTGTAGAAAGAACAAAGAAAAACGCAGCCTTCAGGAATCCCAGATCCCAGAGACCAGAGGGAAAGGCTGGAGCAAGGAAGAAGTGCCCCTGGTGGAGGAGGATCAGGTCAGGGAATACTTAGGCAAACTGGACATGCAGCCCCATGACAGGGCTGAGGGAGCTGGTAGATGTCATTGCATGGCAACTCTTGATACTCTTTGATTGATCATGGTGACTGGGAGAAGTGCCCAAGGACTGGAAGAAAGTAAATATCACTCCTATCTCCAATAAGGTCAGGAAGGAGGGCCCAGGGAACTACAGGCCAATCAACCTCACCTCAGTTCTTAGGAAGCTGATGGAGCAACTAATCCTGGAAACCATTTCCAGGCACATGAAGGACAAGAAGGTGATTGGGAGTAGCCAGCATGGATTCACACAAGAGGAAGTTGTACTTGGCCAATGTGATAACCTTTTATGATGAGATGAGTGGCTTGATAGACAGGGAGAAAACAGTGAATATTGTCTACCTGGACTTCAGTAAGGCTTTCCACACTTTCTCCCATAATATTCTCATAGAGGAGCTGTTAATGCACAGGCTGGATGAGCAGACAGTGTGGTGGATTGAAAACTGGCTAAACAGATGGACCCAGAGGGTGGTGATCAGTGGCATGAAGTCTACAGCTGGAGGCCAGTCACTAGTGGTGCACCCCAGAGGTCAACACTGGATCTGACGTAGTTCAGCATCTTCATTAATCATCTGGATGATAGGGCAGAGTTTGCTAATGATACAAAACTGGGATGAGTGACTGATACACCAGAGGATTGTACTGCCATCCAGAGGGACCTCAACAGGCTGGAGAAATGAGATGACAGGAACTCATGAAGTTCAATAAAGAGAAGTGCAAAGTCCTGCAACTGGAAAGGAACAACCCCAGTACCTGCTGGGGGCTGACCAGCTGGAAAGCAGCTTTGCAGAAAAGGACCTGGGGTTCTGGTGAACACCTAATTGACCATGAGCCAACAGTATGCCCTTGTTGCAAAGAAGGTCAATGGTATTCTGGGCTGCATTAGGAGAAGTGTTGCCAGCAGGTCAAGGGAGGTGATCCTTCCCCTCTGCTCAGCACTGGTGAGGTCACATGTGGAGTCCTGGGTCCAGTGCTGTGCTCCCCAGTATGAGAGACATGGACATACTGGAGAGAGTCCAATGAAGGGCCACGAAGATGATGGGAGTGAACCATCTCTCCTATGAGGAAAGGCTGAGACCGCTGGGATGATTTAGCCTGGACAAGAGAAGGTTTGGAGGGGAACTTATTAATGTATTTAAATACCTGAAGGCAGGGTACAAAGAGGATGGAGCCAGG